CTTTTGAGGAATTGCCAGATTGTTTTCCAATATGGCTGCACCATTTTACATTTCTTCCAGCAGTGTGTGAGGGTTTCAGTCTCTCCACATCCTCACCAACACTTGTTGTTGTATGTGTTTTGATTCTAGCAATCTTTAGTGGTTGTGAAGTGGTTCTAGTTTTGATTGTCATTTCCCTGAAAGTTAATGATGTTGGGCATTATCTTGTGTGCTTGTTAGCCATTCGTGTATCTTCTTTGGAGAAAGAAGATCCATGCCCATTTTTTAATTGGGTTGTCTTTTTATTATTGAGTTATTTTATTTTATTTTATTTTAAATTTTTAAATTTTAAAATTTTTATTGAATCATAATTGGTTATACATATTTTTGGGGTTCAACATTGATATATGTTGATCAAATCAATATTACTAGCATATATATTGTTACTAATTGTACTTATTCTTTATGCCCCTTGTCCAATCTCCCTCATCCCCCTCTTCCTCCTGTCTCCCACCTCTGATAATCCTAGATTTCCTCTCTCCTGAAAGAGTAATGGTTACTCTGTTGATTTGTTGCCTAGATGATCTGTCCAATGCTGAGAGATGTGTTCAGGTCCCCCAATGTTATTGTAGAGCAGATGCTTCTTCTGTCACTCTAGAATGAGCTTTGTGGAAAGAGACATCATCTTCTTTTCTTTGGTCTCTGCTGGTGACTCTCCTTGTGTCAATGCACTCCAGTGGCTGGCGAACCATCTGCACGGTGGTTGTGGTGTCTAGCCACTTTCGCAGCAGCTGTGGTTATTGTGGTGGCTGTGGTGGGTCACCACATAGAGGTGATGTTTTTGGCATGCTCCTTACCTAGTTGGTGGTGGTGATGTGCCTGGTTGTGGGTGGTGTGCCTGGTTGTGTCTTTTTATTATTAAGTTGTAAGTGCTCTTTGTATATTCTAGATACAAGTCCTTTATCATATATATATATATATATTTTTTTTTTAATTTATTTTTATTTTTAAAGATGACCAGTAAGGGGATCTTAACCCTTGACTTGGTGTTGTCAGCACCACTCTCAGCCAGTGAACTAACCGGCCGTCCCTATATAGGATCCAAACCTGTGGCCTTGGTGTTGTCAGCACCACACTCTCCCGAGTGAGCCACGGGCCAGCCTTCCTTTATCATATATATGATTTGCAAATATTTTTCTTCATTCTGTGGGTTGTCTTTTCACTTTCTTGATGGTGTCCTTTGGGCACAAAGGTTTTTAATTTTGATGATGTTCAATATATCTATATTTTTCTTTTGTCACTTGATTTGTACTTTTGTTGTCAAATCTAGGAAACTGTTGCCTAATCCAAGGTCATGTCCACTTACCCTGTGCTTTCTTCTAAGTGTTTTATAGTTTTAGCTCTTACACTTAGTTCTTCGATCCATTTCGAGTTGGTTTTTGTATATGGTGTGAGATAAGGACCCCCCTTCACTCTTTTTTGCATGTGGTTATCTAGTTGTCCCAGCAACATTTGTTAAAAAGACTATTCTTTCCACTTCTGAATTATTTTGGCACCTGTGTCAAAAATAAGTTGACCATAAAGTGAAGGTTTACTTCTAGATTTCTGATTCTATACCATTGATCTGTCCTTATGCCGGAACTACATTTTCTTGATTACGGTAGCTTTGTAGAAGTTTTGAAGTCAAGAAGTGTGAATCTTTCAATTATGTTCTACTTTTTTGAGATTGTGTTGACTATTCTGGTCCCTTGGATTTCAACGTAAAGTTTAGAATCAGCTTGTCAAATTTCTGCAAAGAAGCTGGCTTGGGATTTTGATTATGTTGAGTTTTTAGAATCATTTTGGAGTATTATCTTACCAATATTATCATCTTACTAGTCCATGAACATGGAATGTCTTTCTATTTATTTAGATCTTTAATTTCTTTCAACAATGTTTTATAGTTTTCCAGAACACGTATTTTGTACTACTTTTGTTAAATTTATTCGTATGTATTTTTTTCTTTTTGATGGTATTGTAAATGGAATTGTTTTCTTATTTCATTGTGTATGTCCACCTGTATATAGAAAGAATTGATTTTTGTGTATTGATCTTGAATCCTATAACATTACTGAACTCACGTATTAGTTATAATAGTTTTTTACTGGATTCCTTAGGATTTTCTACCTTCAAGATGAAGTCATCTGCCAGTGGAGATAGTTTTAGTTGTTTCATCCTCATTTCTCTCCTCTCACCTAGTGTAAGCTGGTTACTGCTGTGGTCACAGTGCATAGAACAGGGCCTGACACACGGCTGGTGCTCAGTTGTTTGAATGAATGAATGAATAAGTGGAGCTGGCATGACTAGAGTCAGGTGATGCCCCCAGCCCAGGGCCCCCACTCCTTCTGTGGCACCTGCTTCCATGGGTTTGGTACTCTCCCTTCCTCTCTCTCATCTGTAGCCCTGACCTTTTCTGTTTGTCCCACCTTGGGCTGCAGGAGGTTGCTGGAACTCACCCTTCGAACAACGTTTGAGTGTCCTAGTGATCAAATCTCCCTAGATCCCCAGTACCTTCATCAGGCAAGATACGTCTCTCTGAGCCCTCACCAGTCAAAGGCGAGTCGCTTTGTGGGGCTCATCTCACTGAATGCTCCCAAGTGCCCATGTGGGAGATGCGTTGTGCCCATTTCACTGATGAGGATGGAGAGGTCGAGTCCTAGCCCCAGTGAGTGTGAGGGCTGTAGCTCAGGTCTGCCTGACCCAAGTCTTGTTGCCCCTTGTTATAGCCCTGGCAGGAGCACAGCATAAGCCTTGGTCACATCCTCAAAGCCTTGCTGATCCAGGAGGGGATTGCCTGGAGGCAACTCCTCATAGAAGGTGAGGCCTGGGGGCTTTCATTGGCCGCGTTCATGCTGTTCCCGCTCCCTGGAACTGTTTTCCCTACCTCACTACTCCCCACTCTTCATTCAGGCCTGAGCTTGAATGTCACCTCCCTGCAGCCGGTCACCTTCCCTGACTCCCTCTTCCCCCGTCGTGTGACAATGAGTCATCACTAGGTGAGTGCAGTCCACTGCAGTGGCTCCCTGCCTAGCACATGCTTGGCACCCAGATTCTGCAGTGGGTGCCTCAGGGACATAGCAGGGCTCTGCTGGCCCCACCACTCCCATGGGTTCCACCTGCCAGGCTTTCCCGGGGTCCATGGCCCATGAGTCGAGGTGATGGTTGAGTGCCCAGACTCTGAAGTCAGACAGTCCTGGGTTCAGATTGTGCTTTGTCTGGCAGTAGGGATGTGATCTTGCAAGAAGAGGGGGTGGCTTTCTCTTGGAGCCTCTGCCCTCAGCTGGGGGTGGCACAGAGCCCACCTTACTAGGCTGTTGTAAGAAGCAAACAGGCTGATGTTCGGGAGGTGCTTGAATGTGGCCCTCCTCACCCTCTACCCTCAGGCCCCATCTGGCAGTTAACCCATACTCCTTGGGTCACCAGGGCATAGAGAGGTCACTTCCTCAGCTGTCCACTTGGCTGGTCCGGTTAGGTGGGATGAGCTGGAGATAATGCCTCTCACACCACCCCCTCCCTTCCGTGGCCCCCCCTTCCTGAGCACCGGTTCTGCTGGGTGGGTGTGGTGAGGAGCTGCTGCAGGGGTGCGGAGCTCAGAGGGGCCATCTGTGCCACGTGCTGCTGCCGCCTCCAGATGCTGCCGAGGCCCCCGCAGCAGCAGGAGAGGCTTTTGGATGAACTGCTCCCACTCACTCCCAGGTGTAAGCACTTCCCTGTGAAAGGGGTGCTGAATTTTTCAGTGTGGTCATGCTCCCAGACCCAGGAGGAACTTGTGGTGTGAGGGGCCAGAAGGTCAGACCCTCAGTTAGTGAAGCTGAGGGCCCTGAGTTGCTGTCTCAGCACCCAGAGCCAGGCTGCTTAGGCTAAATCCCTCTTCTGCTCTTGCTAGTGGTGGGCATTGGACAGGGGTTCCAGCCACCAGGGCTCCCTCCCAGTTTCCTTAAATATGGAATTGGGCTGATGGCAGTAGCTGCCCCAGACAGTGGTTGGAAAGGTTTGGCACGATCACCTGTCTCCGGCACTTGGAGCGGGCCCCAATGACTGCTGGCTTTTGTGACATTCTTTGAACAGTACCTAGCACACAGGGGAAGCACTATATGAGTATTAGCTATTATTATTGTGACTGTTCTCTTTAGCGGTGAAGAAGGGGACTGTGGAGTCAAGCAGAACCAGGCTTAGGGCCCAGCCCAGTTGTTTACGGGCTGGGTGACACTGGACAGTTTACCTAGCTTCGTTCTCTTCATCTGTAAAATGAGCAGTCCAGCCTGGGGAGGCTGCTGTGAGGGTCACATGAGCTTGCCAACGGGAGCCTGGCTGGGGGCAGGCAGTGGCACCAAAAGGAGCCACACAAGGTCACAGAGGAAGGTCGTGGGAGCTCAGCTGTTTAGTAAGCTCCCTGGGGAAGGGGGCACTGCCCCAGCCTGACTCACCCTGCCTTGTGTTTTATCATTTTTTTGGTTACATTTTTCTGTGTGTTTTTTATAACAATTACACAAGCATATTCTTATGAAAATACAGTCGCTTTGTGATACAAAGTAAAGAGTGAGAGCTCCCTTCCCCTCACTCCCATGGGTCCCCTGGCACTGACCTGTGCGCACGTGCTCACCTGTCCCATGTGGCCTGCAGGGAGGAGGTGCAGGAGAACTGTGTGCGATGGCAGAAGAAGTTCACCTTCGTGTGTAAGATGAGCGCCAACCCGGCCACGGGCCTGCTGGACCCCTGTATCTTCCGCGTGTCTGTGCGTAAGGTGAGGCTGGGAATATTTATATGAAAATACCAGAATTTTTATATAAAATTTATAGAAAACAAAAGTAGATTAGTGCTTGCCGGAAGCGGATGGACTCATGGAATGGGACTGACTGTTAATGGATGTGGGGTTTCCTTCTGTGGTGATGAAAATGTTTAGAATTTAGATATTGATGATGGTTGCACAACTCTGAATATACTAAAAATGACTGAATTCTATACTTTATTTATTTTTTTTTAAAGATGACCAGTGAGGGGATATTAACCCTTGGCTTGGTGTTGTCAGCACCACGCTCAGCCAGTGAGCTAACCGGCCATCCCTATATAGGATCCGAACCCGTGGCCTTAGTGTTATCAGCACCACACTCTCCCGAGTGAGCCACGGGCCGGCCCTAAATTCTATACTTTAAAAGGGCGAATTTTATAATAAATAGGGCTGGGCTGGGGGTGGGCATGGGATCCCAGGTCTGGTGGCTTCAGGCCCCTCCCCTGACTTGTCCCCCTAAGAAAAAATGGGAGGGAGTCACTGTCCCCTTTTTTTCACCTCCCCTGTCACTCAGGTTTGAGGGGATTTGGGGAGATGCATGAGGTTCTGGGAATTCCCCAATCACTCTGCTGCTTGTGTCTCCCTCCCTGTGCAGGAGCTGAAAGGTGGGAAGACTTATTCCAAGGTAAGAGGGGCTGGGTGAAGGGGTGGTGGGATGGGATGGGGTGGCATGCAACAGGCATGTGAGTAGCTTCCAGAAGGACTTCCAGCTCCCTCTCTGCCTGTATTAGTCTATTTCTGTTGCTTATAGCAAAATACATGGAACTGAGTATCTTATAAAGAAAATGAAATTTATTGCTTACAGTTTCAGAGGCTAGGAAGTCCAAAGTCCAGGGAACACATCTGGTGAAGGCTTTCTTTGGCAGTGTATCACATTGTGAAAATGGTGGAGCAGAGAGAGCGCAGAGAGTAACCTCATTCACTCTCTTTTTAGAGCCCTCAGAACCACGCCCCTGACCACCGTTATTAATCCATTCAGTACTACATGGTCCTACAGCCTAATCACCTCTTTAAGGTCCCACCTTTCAATTACCATGATAGGATTTCCCACCCTCTTAATAGTCACAGTGGGACTAAGTTTCTAATACATAAAACTTGGGGTACACAGTTCAAACTTCAGTGAGTTTTGGGGGGAAATAATTCAGTCCACTACACTGGCCAAGCAGGAGGCACTCAGCCCTCTAGAGATATGTTACTTTTTGGAAATCTCTCCATTGATAGTCTTTGCACTTAATATAGAGGCAGCACATACTTATTGCAACGCCAATGGCACAGAAGTTTGTAGAATGAAAGTGCTGGTTTCCGTCTCTTTTCCCTTCTCCAAGCCTCTTCTCGTGACCCCACCCACTGGGATTGGTTAGGATCTTCCCAGACCTTTTAAAAAAAAAACAAATTATGAAATATACTTACAGAGGAGTGAATAAAGAAACATACACGTATGGTTTAGAGAAATGTAATATGAGTACCCTCTGTGTATGAAAATATGATTTTAAAAAATATACCAATACACAGATTTGCAGCTTGGTTTTTTACCTACCCAGTACATCATGTCATCACAAATTTCCATGTGCTTTCTAAGGACAGCAGTGTCCCATTGTGTGGCTGGTGATGGTTGATTCAGCCAGTCCCTGCTGGTGGACATCTGTGTTGCTGCCAGGTTTTCACTGCACCCGCAGACAGTTCAGCCCCACATAGTAAAACCTTTTCTACTGGGAGAAGACGGCTCTGGCTTTGAATAAGCCTGCACTGCCCTCAGTCCTTCTTCCCCGTGGGGGACCTGCATGGCTCCTGGGATGCTAGCCCTGCAGCAGGAGGGTGGGCTCTAGCAGTCGCCATCCAGGAGGGGAAATGCCTTTGCCTCACCTCTCGCCCTGCGTGGAAGGCCAGAGGGAGGTACTGTGTAGGGTGCAGCCCTTCCACTGACCAGCACTCAGGAGCGCAGCAGGCTGGGCTGTGCACTCTGCCCTAGCCCGGGGCACTGACATCCCTGTCCAGCAGCATAGGACAGGCTGTGGAGGGTGCTGTCAGAGAGGAAATTTGTCCTGTTGATTCACATGGGTGAGGACAGCCACCCAACCAGGAGAGAAACTACGAGCAACAGCCGGGAGTGTCTTGCCTTCACCTACAAACATTTATTGGGCACCTAGCATGTGACAGGTGCTTCCAGGCCCTTCCTTCTGTTCTGTCATTGAACTTCCACCACGGGCTTTACTCCTATTATACAGAGGAGGAAACTGAGGCCTAGAGAAGTGGCAGGATGTGGTGCTGAAGCAGGCCTAGCTTCAGTCCTGCCTCTGATGGTTAAGCTGTGTGGCTTTGGGCAAGTCTCTTCCCCTCCCTGAACTTAGTTTCCTTGTGGGTAAAATGCCCCCGAGCCTGGTAACCCCTCACCTCAACCTCAGTTTCCCCTCCAGGTCTGGAGACTTGGCTTCCATCTAAGGGGATTCTTAGCCTATGCCCTCTTCTTGCACTTTTTCCCACTCCCCTTCCTGTCCCTCGCTGCTCTCTTCCACTCAACATTAGCTGGAGTTCCCAGGGCTGACCCTGGACTCTGCTCACCAGACCCTCACTCTGGGTTCCTGCCCACACTGCTGAGTGTTCCTCCCCGAGCCTGGTAACCCCTCACCTCAACCTCAGTTTCCCCTCCAGGTCTGGAGACTTGGCTTCCATCTAAGGGGATTCTTAGCCTATGTCCTCTTCTTGCACTTTTTCCCACTCCCCTTCCTGTCCCTCGCTGCTCTCTTCCACTCAACATCAGCTGGAGTTCCCAGGGCTGACCCTGGACTCTGCTCACCAGACCCTCACTCTGGGTTCCTGCCCACACTGCTGAGTGTTCCTTCCCCTCTCCTCCTGGACCCCCCTGGTGGGGGCGTTCCATTCCCCCAAGCTGCCACCAAGTTCGCATGGGCCTGCTCACTGGCAGCTCCCGACAGCACAGCCTTGTTTTCCAGGGAACAATGTGTCTGTGTCACAGACAACAATGTCCTTTCATCTCTGGCGCACTGGCCCCAGTGCACACTGGGACGCAGCACAAAGGGCACTTTGTGTGGCTCAGGGATGTGAGCTCCTGGCTTTGCCACGTCCTTGCCGCCAACCCGGAGCCTCTGTCCTTGGGTCCCAGTTATGCAACAGTCAGTTGGGCTATGAGTGGTCCCAGGGGCTTTGCCTGTCCCCCCCTCCCTGCTCCCTTGCCAAGTTAACCCTTCCAGTGCATCTGCCAGCCATGAGCCCATGCTCCCTGCAGCCTCCCACACACTCCTCCTCCCCTCCCAGCTGGGCTTTGCTGACCTGAACCTGGCTGAGTTCGCTGGCTCAGGCTCCACGGTACGCTGCTGCCTGCTGGAGGGATATGACACGAAGAACACCCGCCAGGACAACTCCATCCTCAAGGTACAGGGCCCTGCTGCCTCTTCTGCCCCCACCCCTCGGCTTCTCATCAGAGGTGCCTGGAGGGCTCTTACCAGGACAGGCAGTGAGAGACTTTGGGAAGATGTGGACCCTGGGGTCAGAAAACCATTCTCAGAGGCCTGGCTTGGTTGCTGGCCTTGGTTTCCCCACCCATAGTCGGGGTAGACCCTAATGGTCTCTGTAAGGGTGTGACAAGCACTTCCTGAGTGGTGGGCACGGTGCTGAGTGCTTTCCATCTCTTATCTCATGACCCCTGGCAACAGCCCTGTGAGGTGGGGTATCCAATATTAGTCCCAGTTTTGCACAGAGGGGAGTCGAGGCAGAAGTTGTCATTTGCCTGGGGTCACAAACAGAGCTGACCCTTGACCCCCCCAGCTGTTTGACTCTGTGGCCAGCTCCTGACCATAGTCCCACATGACATGAGGCAGCCTGGCTGCCTGTGGAGCATCAGTAAGTAGAACAACCTGCCATCCTGGACCTTTGGGCTCTGTGGGCCCCAGGCAGCTGCCTCTTGAGGACAGAGATGTCTGGGTGTCTGCCACCAGCATCCCTTTCTTCCTCTGTCTCCACACCCTTCTACCCAGCTGAGGAAACAGGCTTGCCCTGACACAGCCTCTGCAGAGCTGGGTAGGAGGTGGTGGGCAAGGGCTCTACGGCCTCCTAGACCCTTTGCAGAGGGAACTGCAGGCACCAGCAAATTGTCCAAGCAGATTGATGTGGGAGCTGGGGCCTTTTGGTTCCCCCTTCCCAAGTGGCCTTGTGCACACTCAGGCCAGATCCAGGGGCCTGCAGATCAGGTGGCCTTGAGTTCGAGGCCAGCTCCCCCACGGCCTGTCCACAGGGACCTGGGTAATCATTTCCCCTCTCTGAGCCTCAGTTCTTTAGTCTACAACTTGGGGCTATGACCTGCTTTGTAGACTGCTATTGTGGCCAACTGAAATAATCCATAAAAAGCCTCAGCTCAGTGGTCACCGTTTTTGTCAGTGGTGATCCTGGGATCTGAGCACCTCTGTCCCACCCTGCCACCCTCTCCCTATCGCTCCATCTCATCCCCAATTTTGGGACCCAAACCTTGCCATGTTTCGGCTGTTGCCAGAATCTTTGCCCACGTGGATGTTCAGTTTCTGAAGGCTTCCTGCTTTGCTTTGTTCATCAGTCTTTCACCAAGCCCCACCCACCGTGGTGGACTCTGAGCACCCCCACACCCTCCTGCCCACTGTGTTGAGCTCTGTGCCCTTCACACAAGCTGACCACTCAGGATGAGGAGTGACTGCGTGGTCCCCACCCTGGAGGAACTCACAGCCTATAGTCGTAATTTTATCAGCACCGCACTCTCCCGAGTGAGCCACAGGCCGGCCCAATATAGTCGTAATTTTAAAACAATGGTGGCTAACTTGTGCTCCATACTCACTGTGCCAGGTGCCGAGCTAGGTGAAGGCCTCTTCAAACTGCCTCCTCCTCCCACTGCCCCAGGCAGGACTTAGGCTCCTTTCCACCCCCCACGGGAGGAGATGGTGCCTCAGTGAGGCTAGGTGGCTTCTCCAGGGCCCCCAGCCATGGGGGTTCAGAGATGGGATTAGAGTCCTAGCCCTCCTGGGGACTGAGCCGTGCCTGGGGGTTGTGGGTGGCATAGCTTGGCTGATTTCTCCCCCTTCCTATAGGTCACCATTGGTATGTTTCTGCTCTCTGGAGACCCCTGCTTCAAGACGTGAGTGCTGGCACAGGCCACCGGAGGGGAGGGGGCACTGGGACTCTTCCTTCCTCCAGACTCCTGGGCCCCCCATCTTCCTCTGATTCTGAGGTGGGGTACCCTAATCACACCCCTCTGTCTTCCCAAGGCCACCGTCCACTGCCAAGTCCATCTCCATCCCGGGCCAGGATTCCTCCCTGCAGCTGACGTGTAAGGGGGGCGGGACCAGCAGCAGTGGCAACAGCAGCACCAACTCCCTCACGGGATCCCGGCCCCACAAGGCCAGGCCTACCATCCTCAGCTCAGGTATGTTCCCGAGATGGCTTTTACCTCCACTGCACATCCAGGCCCCAAAGGAGACGCTTGCTGGAAGGAGGGAGGAGGTGCGATGACATTTGCATCCGCTCAGGCTTCCATTCAGCTGATGTGGTCCAAGCACCTCATGTGTGGCCGCCCTGCCGGGCCCCAAGATCACAGCAGTGCCCTGCACCAAAATCAACATGGTGTCCCCACCCTCATGGCCCTCCAGTGTAGCAGGAGAGACAGGTGTTAGTCAAACCATAAATAAACCACATGCATGTCCACCTACAGATGCAACCAGAAGTGGGGAGACAGGCGCTGGGGGCGGGTCCATCTGGGCCAGGGCAGGCTTCCGTGGGGAGGTGGTGTCTGAGAGTCCAGAGTGTGGGTGCGATGAACGTGGCAGAGGGACTTGTTGGGAGCTCTTGCTCTCCCACTTGCCGTGTGACTGGGACCAGCCATTTCACCTCTCTGAGCATCTGTCCTCTGGAGAATGTGATTGGTAATGGTAACACCACCTTGGGCTGCTTTGGGGATCAACTAAGCAAAGTGCTGTCTGCCTCCCTGGCACATAGTAGATGCTCAGCAGGCATTACGTTTTTATTACCGTTATTGCTAACGTTGTTAGGAAAAATGAGAAGGAGCCTGAGTCCCCAGAGGAGACAACTTGGCAATTGGGAGGAGGTGGTGCTGCCAGGAGAGGAGGCTGTGGCCTGCCCCTGTGCATTCGCTGGGGCCCCAGCCAATTCCTAGCGCTGTGCAGGGTGAAGCTGGTCCCTAAAGCTAGGAGCTGCAGACTGCCCCCAAGCTGATTTGTGAGCACGGTGGCATGTGGCGGCTCTAATTTGTGCCACGACAGCAGTTAGAGAGGACACCAGCCTCCAGCGGCTCAGCAGGTTCTTGCTGGGTGATTCTGCCCCTAGGGGCGGACTGGGGGCAGTTAGGGACCTCTGGCCTCAAGGGCCCAGCTTTCCTCCACTCCCATTTTTCCTGCAGACCCAGCCAGGTGCAACCCAGAGCAGCAAACTGGGGTTCTTGTTAGTCTGCACGAGGGACGGGAGTTTTCCAGCACGCTTGCTCTCTCTGGCTTCAGAGTGGGGGTCCCCAGAGGAGAGGTCTGTCAGGGTACCAGGTCACCCCAGCACAAATGGTGGCTTTGTGCAAAGTAGAAGAAGCATCTCACCTCTCCCAGGCAGATGGGATTTGAGCACCCACTTGCCCCTGTAGCTGGCCCCCCCTGCCCCCTCCACATGCAGAGGACCTGTTGGGGCCTTGAAAGGCCATGTGGCTTTGGGTGAACACACAGGCAGGCCTGGGGTCCGCTTGTGTCCTGGGTGTGCTCATCTCTGAAGAGGACACAGACACATCCTTCCTTTCTCTGTTGGCCAGGAGGGCTGGTGGGTGGGTGGGCCCTGGCTGGTTCCCTTGAGCCCCCTGCTGGGGAGTGCCAGGAAAATTTGTTTTGAAGTTGGGCTTACAGGTGACTTGGGACAGGGCTGTTGGCCCGTCCCTTGGGCCTGGCCTGCTCCCTTCCCACACCCCACTCCCCCTCACCCTGTTGGCTGCACTCCAGCTAAGGTGACTCAGACTCATTCCAGCCTCAGTGCCTGTGCTTATGCTGGAACACCCTTCCCCTGATGCCTCATCTGTGCCCCCCATGCATCCTGAAGGCCTTGGCATTAAGGCCATCTCCTTGGAGGGGACTTCCCTGATCCCCAGACCCCATATGTGCTGCTCCCTGCTCTGAACCACTCCCCGTGGGTGTGGGTAATTGTGGCTTAGTTTTTGTTCATCTTTCTTCCTTCTTGTTGGCCTGTGGCACACGCCCACACCAGGTCCTACCCCATATCTGTGGAAGGAACACACCTGGGTTCAGATGTTGACCTGTGGCTTGGGGCAGGTCACTGCTCCTCTGAACCTCAGTTTTTCAGTTTGTTGGATGGAAATACACAGTCGTTCCCCCAATCGGAGGCTCAGGGAGGGGACAGTGTGAAGGGCGAGGGTGGGCACCATGGGGTAACCCCTATCCCCTGGCCCTCCCTACCTTCCAGGGCTGCCAGAGGAGCCAGACCAGAACCTGTCGAGCCCCGAGGAGGTGTTCCATTCCGGCCACTCCCGCAACTCCAGCTATGCCAGCCAGCAGTCCAGGATCTCTGGTGAGTGTGTGGTCGTGTGGCCCTGCCCCCATGGTGGCCTCCTACATTCCTGGAACACCCTCCTCCCCCTCCCCTACTCCCCGTGATGACAGCCCTTGGCTCCCACCCCCCAGGCTACAGCACAGAGCACTCACGCTCCTCCAGCCTGTCGGACTTGACACACCGCCGTAACACATCCACCAGCAGCAGCGCCTCTGGTGGCCTCAGCATGACCGTGGAGGGCCCCGAGGGTAGCGAGCGGGAGCACCGGCTCACGGAGAAGCCTCCACGGCCGCCCAGGCCCCTGCACCTGTCAGACCGCTCATTTCGGTAGGTCCCACTGCTCAGTGCTCCTTGGAGAGCAGATACCTTCCCGGTAGCTCCCTCAACCTGTGCTTCTTTACCTATAATATACACAGGGACAGTGGGGCCTCTGCCTCAGAGAATTGGATGGTGACAATTTAACCAGCTGATGGTCATACAGGGAGCAGCCCAGCGCCTGGCACGCAGCAGGAGCTCAGTTGATAGTTGCTGTTTGCAGTTTTGTGTATCGGACAAGAGCACATTCTGTTGTCCTGACAGAGCTGGGGTAGAGCCTTAGATCCACCACTTACATGCTGTGTGGCCTTAGGCAGGTTACTTAACCTCTCAGTGCCTCTGTGTCCTCAGAACATGCCCAGAATCTTCTAGTGCTGTGGGTGCTCACTGTCATTACTGTCCTTATTTTGTTGTTGTGCCTGTTACTCCCCTGACTGCTATGAATCGGCCCCACCCCTACCCAGGCGGAAGAAGGACTCAATGGAGAGCCACCCGACCTGGGTGGATGACACGCGGATCGATGCGGATGACATCGTGGAGAAGATTGTGCAGAGCCAGGACTTCACAGATGGCAGCAGCGCTGAGGGTGAGCTGCCTGCTCCAGGCGGCAGGGACGATGCCACCGCCTCTGGGTGCTGCCCCGCCCCTGCTCAGCCTCTGTCCTCCTTTTGTCCCTACAGACAGCAACCTCCGGCTGTTCGTGAGCCGTGACGGTTCCACCACGCTGAGTGGCATCCAGCTGGCCAACAGGTAGGGGGTGAAAGCTCAGGGGAGGGGTTGCCAGGGCGGCTGTAGCACATGGTGGTGAGAGCAAAGTCTTTGCAGCCCACTCACCTGGCTGTGAATGCCAGCTCATCACCACAGTGTGACCTTGGGCCAGTCACATCTCTACGAACCTCAGTTTTGCCATCTGTCAAGTGGTGAGGACAACGTCCACCTCACCTGGAAACCTGGGACAGTGAGAGCACCAACAGGCCTGGGCTTGTTCCCAGAGTCACCTGTGAAAGTGCCTGGCACAGCACTTGGCACACAGCAGGGGCTTAATAAGATGTATATTTTGGGCTCTGCTTTCCATCTCCTTCCTCCTGAGTCTGGGAACCCCTAAAATAAAGGTGGTGATGACACATTTATTAAACAAATATTTATTTAGCTTTTTTTTTTTTTTTTTGGTGGCTGGCCAGTACGGGGATCCAAACCCTTGACCTTGGTGTTACAGGTTGTGCTCTAACCAACTGAGATAACCAGCCAGCCCCTTGAATAAATATTTATTGAGCACCAGCTGTGCTGGGCACTGAGCTTACTGCCAGGATACATTGTAAATGTGTGTGAACGCCCACATGATGTTCGCAGATGGGGGGGTGGCAGGATCCAACTTCTACAGGAACTTGGCATTTTATAGGTGCCCTCTCATGGGCATTCATTCAGAGCATGTCGACTGTGTGCCTGGTGCACTCCATCCTTGTGGCTCACCCAGTGAATGAATGAGTGAAGGAGCTTCCCACATGCAGGGTTGTGCTGGGCATTCATTCAGAGCATGTCGACTGTGTGCCTGGTGCACTACATCCTTGTGGCTCACCCAGTGAATGAATGAGTGAAGGAGCTTCCCACATGCAGGGTTGTGCAGAATGCTTTTCCCCATGTTCCTGTGGGCAAGGTGGGAAAATGCCCATTTACCATCTAGCTCCAGAGTGGAAGAGACAAGGCTGGTGGCGCTGCTCTGCTGACCCCTTCTGGCTAGGCTCAAAATTGCAGCCGCCATCTCAGCAAACCTCCCGAGCTGCTCTGGGTGGGTTGGGCAAGAAGAAAACAGAGCGGGGCTCCTTGGAGGTTTGTAAACACCTCTCCATAGCCCCCTTTGGAAATGAGAAAACTGGTGTTCAGGGGAGGGAAGAAACCAATCTGGTCGGCAGCAAGATATAGTAGAGCTGTATGCCAAGCTTCGAATGTCCACAACCCCATGGATGGGCCTGGCCTTTGGCAGGGAGAAGAGCTGGTCAGGCTCCCTGACTTTCTACTGCTCTCTTGGCACATGTCACGGTCCCTCTGAGCCTCACTCCTCATGTGCAGTCCCTCCCTGCCAAGGTTACTAGGAGGATACGGCTGGCACTCCCGAGTGTGTAAGCTGACTGTGCCAGCTCTGTGGTCCCCATAGACTCTGGTACTTAACTGTCTGTGTCACCCTGGGTAAGTGATGTAACATCTCTGAGCCTCAATTTTTAGCCGCTCTGCAGAACAGGGCTGGTAAACAGTGCCTGCTTATGAAGCACTTCTGCAGGCCTGGCCCAGGAGAGCGCTAGGTAAATGGAGCATCATGGGGGACAAACTGACCTGTCTCTCCCCTGCAGGGTCTCCTCTGGGGTCTACGAGCCAGTCGTGATTGAAAGCCATTGAGGAGCAGGTGTCCGGGCTGGAGAAGGGCACTGCGTTCTTGAGCATCCATCCAGAACCGCATCATTCCACAAGGAACCTTCCCCTTCGGATTTCCATCCGTGCCGCATCTCATCCATGCCTCCTCCATGCACTCCAGGCCATACCTGTCCCCAAAGCATCATTCCACTGTCCTTCCATCTGTGCTGGGACCCTCCTGGCCCGCCAGGCCCAGGCACCACTGTGAATATTTTCCTCTGAACCACTACTAGGCAGGACAGCCGGGCCCATGTGGTAGGTGGGAAAGACAGAGCCGGCCAGGACTGCACCTGCTGGAGACTGACCTGGCCCCCTGGGGCAAGGACATGCAGCAGCTCCTAGAAATGTGGGGATGCTTATATCCAAGGGGCTTGTCCCCCTGTGTCACCACTCACTCCAGGAGCACAGGCTTTGGTCATGCCCTGGCAAGGCCTTGGTCCATTGTCCCCTTGCCCTCGGGGGGCCAGACCACCCCCAGAGTCCTGCCACCTGTGACACTCTGACTGCCTAGTGCTTCAGTTGTCCTTTGCCTGTGTTCTGGGGGACCTGCTGGCAGCCTCCTCCTGGAGCCAAGACCTCAGACCCCATCCACATTCCAGATCAGACCCCCACCTCCCTCAGCGAATGTTCTCCTGCTGCCCTGGCAGCCTGCATTTTGCACATGCTTGTTCCCAGCACAGTCCCCACTGGCCCCTCACCTCCCCCCACCAACCTCTTCCCAAGGACTCCTGGATGCTGCCTGCTGTGCAGTCAGAGGCCCAGGGTCTAGCAGCCCGGCTGGAACGTGGTGCTGCTTCTCCTCCCTCTGCTTAGCTCCAGCTCAGGCCCAGGCTCTGTGCTGAGAAAGGTCTGAGTGCCAGTGGTGCCCTCTGCCCAGGGCTGGGTCCTGAGCAGCTGGTTTTCCTACAGGAAGGTTGGGGGTCAGGCAGGGCTAGGCTGGGCAGGGCAAACAAAGCCCCCTTCTCTGCCCTCAGATCAGCTGGCCCAGGCTGGGGCTGATACTGGAGAGGTGGGTGGACTGTGACTTACCAGCCCGAGCTGGCTTCCTGGCCGGAAAAGCCCAACCCTCTTCTGGAAGCACCCCGCCTTCTGGGCAGGGGAGAGGTGGGGTCCTCTAAGGGGTGTGCTTTCCCAGCGGGGAGCAGTCTGGTCCTGCACCCCACCCCTGCCCCTCACTAAAGCCCCTACTCTGAGCACTTTCCCCCCGGTTCTTGTTACTTGCTTGAAGGTGGGTTCTGGCCACCAGCCAGTCCCTGGACAAACTCCTCTGCCCTTTTAAATTTTACTCATTTTGTGTAAACACAGCAGGCTGGCGTTTACTTACCTATTCTCTTTTCTTTCTTTCCTCCCTCCCTCCTTGTTTTCTTTCTTTTTTTTTTTTTCTGGAATTCTAGCTCAATATTTCCTCCTCCCCCAGGTGAGGGGAGGTGCTTCTGTGTCTGCTCCCCCACCCGCTGGATGGGTCCCCTGGAATTCTAGCTCAATATTTTCTCCTCCCCCAGGTGAGGGGAGGTGCTTCTGTGTCTGCTCCCCCACCCGCTGGATGGGTCCCAGCAGGGCTGGGGACCTAGCTGGGGGCAGAATGCTGGTTCTCTCTGGGAGTGGGGCAGGTGTCCTCCCCAGGCTGGGAGGGTTCCTTGCCCAGTTCCCTATCTGCCCCATCTGGCAAGAGTTGGGGTTCTTGGTCTTAGAACTCCCTAACATTCGGACCAGAGCATTTCTAAAGATTTCTTTTTTTTCTTTTTTGAGTAGCTGGCCGGTATGGGGAACCAAACTCTTGACCTTGGTGTTACAAGACTGTGCTCTAACTAACTGAGCTAACCGGCCAGCCTGTTGTTGTTTTAATTACCTAACTCTTAGAAAATGAATGTTAGAAGATGCCTGCCAAGGCAGGACAGAGCATTTGCTCTGGCTGGAGAAGGCTCTGGTGAGCTCTGAGTCCCTTTCCGCCCTGCAGATACCTGCACTTTAAAAGGGAGTTGGCCGCACTGTCTTCAGATGAGTGACTCCCCAGAAGATGGGGGGGGGGTGCTGTCCTTCCCTACTGTGTCTGCGTGACCTCACCCAGACAAGTGGGGAGGTTCATTCAGGGTGTATTTTGGGTCCAATTCAAAGTTCTAGGGCTTCAGGCACAAAACAGATGGCTTTGGTGCTGTTGGGGATACTCCCCCTAACCAGGAACCCCAACCCCACCCAAGCCAAGGTCTGAGTTTGACAGTCACCCCAGAAGGAGACAGAGCTTGCCACATCCTTCCACACCAGGCCCTGGGCCAGGGTAGTAGGATTGAGAATTTGGCCACAACCAAATTAACACTGGCTGGAGCCAGAGGCCTGGAGCCCTGGCCTCATCCCCATGTGGGAGCCCTTTCTTCAGCCCTCTGGTCCCCTCAAGCTCAGTGAATTCCCACCAGGTGCCTACAGCTCCTGGACTTCAAATTCTATATATAGATAGAGAGAATTTATTAGAGATATTTTTGGAAAGGAATTGGTCTATGCAATGCCAGTTTGGAATCTTCTTGAAAGACAGTTTAACGTTTCTATTAGGAGATTTAAAGAAAATAAAGGTCTACAATATTTTTAAAGTTTCCTCCCCTCTCCCCCCCGCCCCATTCACCCCACAAACTGACCACACGACATGATCTGCCAGGATGGAGAATGTCCACGTTTTCCTCTGTTTTTAGGAAGGTGATTGAGAAGATCGGGGAGGGGAGGTCTTTGTTTTTCAGTTCCCCTCCTTTCTAACAGTGTCGCCACCACCACTCCTGGTTCAGTGGGCTGTATTTGTATCTGTGTCCCAGCTTCTGTTGTAGAAAATAACACTGTAAGGGGAAATCAGCCTAGTGTCAGTGTCTTGGTTTGGGGGGAAAAATTAAATGTTGTAGTTTTTCTTTTGCTGTTTTGTTTTTTTTTTAAAACCTTGTTACTTTACTATGTTGGTTTTTAACCTTGTTACTTTAGCACATCGACTTTGGGTCAAAGACAACATCAGAAGGAAGCCAGGTGTGTAAGTGACTTTCCAGGGGTGGGAAAGATGTAGGTGGCCAGGGTTCTGCAAGTCCTGGCTGCAGTCACATTATTGCCACCTTTATTATCCCAGATTTCTGGGGAGAAAACTGAGGCCCAGAAGGGCAGTTACTTGCCAGTCTCACACCTAGTAAGTGGCATTTGTGACCTCAGAGCCCAAGTTCTAACCACTGCTGTGTGGACCTCCCCACAGTCAGGTGGTCTCTAAAAAGTATGCCCAAGGACAGATAACTCTCTGGGCCTCAGTTTCCTTGCGCAAAAGGGCTTGGGGATCAAATGAGAACACAGGTGTACAGCCGGATCTGCAGGAGGTGCTGAGTGGGCTTCCAGTCTCTCTAAAGCCCCAGGTTCATCCTGGGCCCTTCACCACTGTTCCTGACTGTCCCAAGTCACACAGGAGCTCAGTGGCTTAGCCAAGCTCTAGAAAAGGCAAGTTGCTCTGGGTCTTGAATGAGCTCAGAGGTGTCAGGAAGCTTCAGTGGTTTAGGCCGGGCCAGAAGGAACCAGGTCACTAGGACTGTCTCTGTCCCCAGAACAGTATTACCCCCACCCCGTCCCAGGGCTGACCCCTTTAAACCCTCAAGGCTGATTCTCAGTCCCTTCTGCTTTCGGCACACTGGGAGGGAAAAGTGGGCTCCCAGCCAGAAAGTTGGTCCTGTCAGCTTGGGGGAGAGGGGGAGGGGGCAACCCCCAGAGTCAGAGATGGGCTCAGGGAGATAAATGCTGCCAGAGGGAGCAAACCATGCCAGGCTCAGACTGCATCTCTCGCCGAACCTGCCAAGTGGAGACTGCAGGCCACATCCACATAACCTCTCCAGGAGGCCTGGAGTCCTCAGATGCTGTACTCTGTAGCATTCCAGGTTCTAAAACAAATCACTGAGTCTTAAAGCTGATTGGTTGACTCAAAGCTCCTACTCGTGCCAAGCCCCATTCTGGGTGCTGAGGATACAGCAGTGACCACAGACCCTGCCCTCAGGGAAATCACAGTCATGTGGGCCAGATCAACAAGTAAATCACCTAATTAAAATGCAATGACAAGCGTCGTAATGGAGATACACTTGGGGCTGTGGAGCACAGAGGAGGGAGCCCCTGCCTCCAGGTGCAAAGGTGGCTTCCCTGGGGGTACTGCATCCCAGTAAGACCTGGTGGGTGAGAAGCAGCCAGCCCCAAGAGCTGTGGAAAGACAGTTCCAGGCCCCAGAGCTGAAGAAGCATCAAAGATGATCTGACTCAACCTCCCCCATGGGAGGTTGAGAAGGGCCCATCATATGATGGGAAGGGCCCATAAGATCAGTTGGAAACCTCTCTGGGCGGCTAGGACACCCAGGGCCCTAGAGACAGACGGAGAGGGAGGAGGGGACACCCGAAGGGTCGCCAGGGAAGCCAGGAGAGGTTAAAGGGGTGTTCCTGCTGATCGAAACCCTTCCCATCCCTGTGGGCTCAGGTCAGTCCCTCCTCCCACGCCAGACCAGCATTCTCTGCACCCTTCTCCCCAACAGACAAGTAAGGGCCTCGGGCCCAGAAAGTGGAGCCCTTGCATTCCGGCATCGGTTTCACCCTGACTCGGATTGTGATCTGCCCCTCTTCGAGTCTCACTGTTGTTCCCCATCTGATAGATGGGACTTCCGATCCCCCATCCCCATACCGCTCTGGCCTTAGGTCTCTGGGATGTTTAGTGATGGGCTTTTTAGTGGAGCTGGGTGGGTCCGACAGAACCGTGGCTACGAAGGCCAGGCAGTCTTGGTGCCCTATTCCCTCGGGAGACACGGGGAACAACGTACCCACAATGCCCTTAAGAACTATATTTCCCGACATGCAAAGGGTAGGCGGCGCCTGTCGGTCTCGGGCAACGTGGTCCTGGGACGGCCTGGGGACTACGACTCCCAACGTACCCCGCGGCCCAACGCCAGAAGGGCCCGGATCCGGAACCGGATGTAGTTTTCTGCTCCGGTGGCGGAGCGCAGAGATGGTGAGGTTGGGACCGAGTGCTGGGGTAGGAGGTCCCTGGAGGTGGGGTCCCGGGTCTGCTCAGGAGCTGGGGCTTGGGCACTCGGAACCGGGATTGCTCTCCCGGCCGCCCACTGTACGGATGAAGACTCCGAGGGCCGGCACTGCCTCCCAGCTTAGGAATTGACACGTTCAATGAATGGGAAGCTTAGAGCGTAATCAGGCTGCGACGCCCCTTTTCCATTAGTGCACCTGAACGGAGAGTCACTTCGTCAGCTGAGCCCTCCCTTTTCTCCAGGCCACGGGGACAGACCAGGTGGTGGGACTCGGCCTCGTCGCAGTTAGCCTGATCATCTTCACCTACTACACCGCCTGGGTGATTCTCTTGGTATGTCTGTCTCCCCCGCCCTGGGTTCACCATCCCCCATCCTTGGATCTTGAAGCCGACCGCTAACGCCATTTAAGCAGCTACTGTAGTCTTCACCTACTACACCGCCTGGGTGATTCTCTTGGTATGTCTGTCTCCCCCGCCCTGGGCTCACCATCCCCCATCCTTGGATCTTGAAGCCGACCGCTAACGCCATTTAAGCAGCTACTGTATGGTTCACCATCCCCCATCCTTGGATCTTGAAGCCGACCGCTAACGCCATTTAAGCAGCTACTGTATGCCAGGCGCGGGGCTAGGTGCTTTCCCTGCCACACCTCCTGGGATCTTTAGAACAGCACTATGAGGAGAATGCCAGTGGCGTCGCAATTTATAAATGAGAAAGCTGAGGTTCAGGGAGAAGGATCTGGCCCAAGGCCGCATTCTTAACCGCTACACTCTGAAGCCCTGTTCCCACTTTGCTTTGCCTTTGAAGGGAGTTCTGCTCCTTCTGGTTAGGCGGCTGGCCCCTGGGCATAGCGAGCGCCAGTGGATTTTGTGAGAACCTTTAGGATTTTTTTTTTCTTATAGTAAAATTTGTTGGTTATTGCTTAAGAAGTGCAGTGTGTTGGAAGGCAAAATCTTGCAGAACTTTGTGTCCTTTGGAGAAAGATGTTAGTAAAAAAGACTTGGGAGCCTGTGTTGGGAATCACTCAAGAATTCCTCATGTACCTTTTTGGGCTTTGAGTGCCTCGGGCAGGTCTGTTGTCTTGTGTTCACTGCCAGGTCCACAGCACCAACCTAGGGCAGGCATCAAGCAAGTCCCCTGTCAACAACTAATAACTAAATGAATGAAAGAAACACTCCACAGCACCCCAATGCCATCATCTTAAGGAAAGGCAAATGTTATCCCAATGCTCTGGTTGGGCTCAGCACCTTAGATGGAGGAGGAGGGATGTTTGGGCTTGGGGGCTAGGCTAGGCGAGCAATGCTCACCAGAACTCTGCCTCGATGTCAGCCATTCATCGACAACCAGCATGTCATCCACAAGTATTTCTTACCCCGAGCCTATGCTGTCACCATCCCACTGGCTGCGGGCCTCCTGCTGCTCCTGTTCGTGGGTAAGTCATCACCCCGCCCCACCCTGACCCTGGGCAGAAGGGCCCCACCACCCTCTCCCACCCCTGAACATGCCTCCACACTTCAGCATTTGCTGTGTATCTACTTGAGGGTCCTTGCTCCCAACTCTCCCCTGGGGTATTCCCATCCATCCTTCAAGTCAGTAAACCCTCTGGTCTTCCTGATGCCTCAGGCTTTTGGACTCTAATGGCATGTTTCCCTTTTTCCTGCCCCCACTCCCCATTATCACTCTGCTCACACCTCAGTCACCTTTCACCATGGCTTATCATCTCTGCACCTATCTCTCATGGCTCCTAAGGGAGGGGGGCTGTATCTTCATCATTACTGTGTCCTCAGCACCCAGCACAGGCTGTGGCACTGAGTTGGTGCTCAAGAAGGTAGTTTGGAGTCAACAATCAGATGATAAGGGCGAAGATGGGTGGGTGGGCAGGTAAGGATGTTGCGTGGGCAGGTCGTGGGTAGGTAGGTAGGTAGGTAGGTGGAGAGGTGGTTGGCTGGGTGCACAGATGGATAGATAGGTGGATCTTGTTCCCTGTGGAATCTGAAACACCAAATGCAGTATCTGCCTGTAGTAGGCACCCAGTTAGTGTTTGTTGAATGAATGTGAGTGGATGTGTGGCTTGCTGAATGACTAGGGAGAAGAGCAGGTGGCCTGGAGGGTGGTTGGGTGGGTGCATGGCCCTGCAGGTGGGTTAAGCTGCTCTTCCCTGGCCTTCCCGCAGCCCTGAGCCTGGATCTCACCTGGTCTTTTTGGTGTGTATATTTCAGGATTGTTCATCACCTACGTAATGCTGAAAAATCAGAGGGTGACCAAGAAGACTCAGTGAAGGCCCAGTGGGGATGAGGCTGCTGGCCCCTTCTCTGCATCCCCTTCAGGGCAGGGACCAAGGGTGGGAACCTGCAGGACCAGTCCAGGCATTGTGGCCCCCTCTACCCTGGCTGCCCTGCCGACATCCCTGTGGGCCGGAGCTCTTCAGGACTCAGCCCTGTCTGGCCGGAGCCCCCCTCGTCCCCTGCTTACCCTTCCAGAAGCCAGAAGGGAGGAGTGCCTGGAAGCTTCCCTCTCAGCCCTTCCAGCTCTGGGCCTGAAAAGTGCTAGTCCTCCCCACTTCACTTTCAGCCTCCTTGTCACTGTTTCTTCTGGGTTCTACCCTCTTTCCTGTTTCCCTCCAGTCACATGCTGATGTTGGCCATAGCAGGTTCTGAGGTGACATGTGACCTCCTCCCACAAGTCCTGCTCCTCCATGAAGACAGCTTCCCTGAGTCTGACACAGCCCCAGATCCCACAAGGACTTCTGGACCTGGAAAGCCGAGGGGAAGGATATACGGGCCCTAGGACCACCACAGGGTCTCAGGGCACATTAGGGCAGCTGCAGTGGGCCCCCAGACTGACTGCTTCTTATGGAGGCCAAGTACTTTGGTCCCAGTGCTGGCCTGTTTGTGAGAGCTCAAAAATAAATGTTGTTTGTGTGTTTGTCTCTGTGCCATCCTTGACAAGAGCAGCTGTACTGGAGGGGGCTTGGGGGTGCCCCTGCATTGGTCTCAGGTCAGGAGACCCTGGTTTGTGCAGTGAGAATACCTCAGGTGCCTCTTCTGTGCTGTCCCTGTGCTGGACACTAAGGATAAAGTGGGACTGGGACAGATATGGTTCTGGCCCAGTGGAGCTCATAGCTGGGGAGTTGGTGGAGGCCCTGTCATACCTCTGCCAGCCCTGCCTCCCCTATGCCAGCTTGGCCAGGATGTACCAGTATTACAATAGGGAACCTTGGGCAACTCCCCTAAAAGCCCAAGCCTGTTGTCCATCTTTTGCACCCAGCAGACCAACTTGGTGTGGCCTGAGCAGTGAGGGCTGCTACTGAGTCAGAGCAGGGCTGATTCCGTTGTGTTCGGGTTGGCTGATCTGGCACAGGCCCCAGCTTGGCTAGCAATCCCAATGTGCCCTCGTGGGCAACCAACTCCCATTCTCCACAGCACCCAGTGTAACCTCTGCCCCCTCAAACCTTGGATGTTCACTCTTCCTCCAGGTAGCAGAAGCGACTCCCTCATCATAGAGAAAAGAGGGGCCAACTGCAGACACACCCACCCTGCCCTCACCTGCTGCATCCCCCCTCTGTCCTCCAGTCCAGACAGCTGCACACCGGGGCTTTGGGTCCCCTCCCCCCACTGGGGGGGCCTCATTTCCTGAATATGCTCCAGGCTCCCACTTAACGGGACCCTCTGTCAACCCAGTCTTCCCTCCAGGTATTTCCCTCTCTCTGCTCTTCACTCCAGCCACTCTGACCTTCCACCTCCTGGGACTCCCCGAGGCCCTTTGTGCACCGTACTCGCATTGGTTTGTGGGCACCAGATTGTACCAGGCACTGAGCCAGGAAACGAGACCCACGTGGTTCCTGCCCTTGTGGCACTCCCATTCTAAGGGGCAGATGCGATGAACAAATAATGGACAAGACAATCTCTGACGGTGTCAAGGGTAATGAAGAAAGGAAAGGTGATGTGATCAAGGGGGGAGGGGCGCTAGTTAGAGCCGGGCAGGGTGACAAGAAGGAATACAGCAAGTGAAAGTCCAGGGGAATAGCAAGTGCCCAAGTCCTGAGGTGAGAGTTCGGTGGCTAAGGGACAGCGGGGGCCCTTGTGGCTGGGGGGTGGGAGAGTGATTGGAGGTGGGCCTGGAGGGTGGGCAGACGGGGCCTGGGGCCATAGCAAGGGCTTTGGATTTCGTTCCATTGCCATGGGAAGCCACTGGAGGCTTCAAGCATGAGAGTGACATCATCCGATTTATGCTTTTAAAAGATCACGCCGGCAGCTGCGTCCCACCTCACTCACCACTAAATCCCCAGGGTCTAGCAAAGCTCCTGGCCCAGAACGGGTGTTCAAAATACATGTGTTGAATGAATGGATGCTCCTGCCTTCCTGTGTGACCTGGAGATGGTCACTTCTCTTTCTGGATCCTAGTTTCCGAACCCGAAAGACAGTAGGAAAGAATTTCACGCCAGAGTGCGAGGACGGGACAGGATTTCGGTTACCCGCCCCCCCCCCAGGTGGCTCTGAGACCCGAGTTCCCCACCCCGGGGAGGAAGATGGGGGGTCCTGCGTCCCGGGACCCCGGCCAACGCCGGGCGGCGCCGCCCGCCTGGACCGCGGTCCGGAGTATGCTGCAGGCGCGGGGGCGGGGCCCGCAGGCCTTGGCCAGCGCCCCCCGAAAAAATGCTATGCCCGAAGTAGTGAAAGGATGTCTTAATTTAGCTCTGGGCCCCATTTATTACTGCTGAAAAAAGATTTCAGAAACTATCAACTCCAATTAATAACATTCTTGTGAATTTGAGCAACACAGAGGAAATAATAAGAATAGTTCATCTAAAGTAAATCAATCTCTCTGGTTTTATCATACAATGTTTCCAGGCTTTCTAATTTGTTATTTTACATCCAGGGAGGCCTTGGCCAGCGCCCCCCGCGCGGATTGGGTGCAGCCGCGACCGGCGCCGCGCGATTGGTCGGTCGCGAGGCAGGGGCGGGGCCTGGTTCCTGCAGCCGGGCCCCTGGGGTGGCGGACACAGCCAGAGCCCGGGAAGCCGCCTCGGGGGCGATGGCTGCGCCGAGCCCGGGGCCCCGCGAGGTAGGTGCGGACCCCAGACAGGACACGAGAGGGAAGGGTTGGTGGGCAAGGGCCGGGCTTCCCTCCCGCGAGCGCCGCGGACACGCCCCCATCCACGCCGGGGAGGGGCCCTGCACTGGGTTAGGGCCAGGACACGCCCCGCACGGGGTCGCCAATATGAAGGGGGGCGGGGCGGTCTGGCGGGTGTCCCCTGGAGATTTCCTCAGTTTCCTCGTAGGGAAAATGGAGATGATAAGAAAAGCTCCTTCTTCATAGGGCTGTTAGGAGCTCAAGTTCTCAGCCAGTGCTGGGCACATGGATGCCCACTCCTAGTGGGCCACCTGGTATGATCTCAGCATCGTGCCGCCCTTCCACGCTGGCCTGGAGGAACTCAGCACAGGCGAGTGATGCTGAAATCGTCGGCATCACTATTTATCCCACTGTGAAGGGTTCCTGTGCACGGAGCTCAAACTCAACACTAACAGTAGTTAATATCTGCCAGGAAGGAGTTGTTACGGTTTCGTGTTACAGATGAGAAAATGAGGAACAGAAAGGTTAGGTGACTTACCTAAGGTCACACAGCTGGGGAGAGACAGTCAGTCTCTGGCCAGGTTTGACTGCAGAACACATGCTCGACCTACTGATAATAATAACCATTTGCTGTTTGAATGCTGATTGCATGCCACGTGGTGTGTGGCCCCTCCCAACATCTGGTGAGGTGAGTGCCAGCCTTATCCCTATTTAACAGCTGAGGAAACTGAGGAAGAGAGAAATGCGGGGAAGGCTCACGGTAGTGGAAGTGGGACTTGAACCTAGGTTTTTCCCCTCTGAGATGCTGCCGCATACTGTTTGCTTCCTGTGCCTCCTCCCACCAGGTCCTAGCTCCCTCCCCAGAGGCTGGACACAGAGCAGCCACCTCGAGCTCCAGACGCCGTGGCCTCCTCTGGCGTCTACGGGACAAGCAGTCTCGGCTGGGCCTGTTTGAGATAGGCCCGGGTCATGAGCTTCATGGGATGATGTGTATGATGCAGGCAGGGCTGTGGGCTGCCACCCAGGTCTCCATGGATCACCCGCCCACGGTGAGTAGCCAGTCTGTCCCATGCATCACCAGAACACCCATGGCAGGACCAGGCTGGTGCCTGGGAGGAAGGGACATTCTGGGTGGAGGCCGGAAATCCCAGAGTGCTGGGGGTGTGAGGAACCCCCGACTCAGGTGGTTGCTGTGTGACTATAGGTGGGCCTCTGCCTATCTGGGCCTCAGTGCCCCCATCTGTATAATGGGTGGGAGGGATTGTACCCTGTGGTTTCTGAGGCTCTCCCAGCCCTGCCAGGTTTATGGTTGAGAAAAGACCCCACCCCCACCCTGCCAGCCTAGCCCATCCTCCCTGGAGCTTAGGCTGGGGACAGGCTGGCTCAGCAGAAAGGGTCGCCCAACTGCAAGCTCAGCAGCTGGGCAGGCCTGGGTGAGCATGTGTGTTGTTTGTGTGTGCGTACATGTGCGCAGTGTGACCACATCCCACAAGCCAAGTACTGGCACAGGGATCTGGAGGTCCAAGGAGAGTGTAGGGGCCTGAGGAAATCCTCTAAACCACAACCTGACCTCATAATCTGCTGAAAATCTTTCATGGCACCCCAGTACTCAGCATGGCCCCAAGGTCCAGCTGGCTCCAAGGGCCAACTGTCCAGCCTCCTTCACGCTCCATCCCTCCCTTACTGGCTTCAGCCACTTGGGCCTTCCTTCCCTCACTGATGGCCACCAATGCTGTTTCCACTGCTATGAGCACCCTGCTTCTCCTCTCCACTGCCCTTCAGATTTCAGCTTAGAGATCACCTCTGCCAGGAAACCTTCTCAGATCCTGCCCCTCCCTGGCTCTGTCAGGCAGTCCCTTGGCTTCAGGGCCATCGCTTGTACTGGGATGAAATCTGGCTTCACTAGGCCGACATGTGTGTCTGGGGGCATGTGCCAGGCTTGAACTCAGAGCCTGGTTCTGGGGACCCAGTAGGGGATGAGAGACACCCAGGCCCTGCCTCAGGTCACTGTCATCCTCACTCCAGTCCCGGGAGGGCTGCAGCCCATCTGCCCAACTCAGGCACAAGTCAGAAACAAGTCAGGTCCCTGTCTGCTGAAGGAATCAAATTGGCAGAAGGGGCAAGGCCAGGTGCAGGACACTTGGAGATCCTGCGGCAAGTACTGGAAGACTGAGACTCGCCCTCGACCCTTTTCCTCTTCCTGCAGGGGCCACCCACCCAGGAGGATTTCTCTGAGGTCCTGATCCAGGTCCATGAGGTAGGAAGCCAAGACCCCTGTGTGGGAGGGGCGTGTCCTGGGCTTTGCTCTCTCCTCCAGAGTTGCCTCCTCTGTGCAGTGGGAGTGATTGGCTTGCTGCAGCCTTGCAGGAAGGGGGTGGTCACCCTGAACCTCCTGCACCAGGGCCAACTGCACAGGCCTGGGCCCACGTGGACACTTGCTTCCCCACAGGGCTTTGAGCTGGGCACTCTGGCCGGCCCAGCCTTTGCCCGACTGCGCCGCTCTCTGGGCCTGGCCGAGGAGGACTATCAGGCTGCATTGGGCCCCGGTGACCCCTATCTTCAATTCCTCAGCACCTCCAAGAGCAAAGCCAGCTTCTTCCTGTCGTGAGCTTACGGCAGGGTGGGGCAGGGGACCAGGTGGTGCCCCCGGGTCAGGGGAAGGCATTCTGAGTGGTGGTGGTGGTGCCGACCCTTGGGGAGAGAAACAGAGTGGCCATGGTCAGGGAGGGTCAGAGCCAGATGGAGGTCGGGGGGAGGGGAGAATAGACTAAGGGCTAGGGCCGGAAGCAAGAGGGGCGATGATGAGGCTGCCAGCCGAGACTCAAGACGCGGCAGAGAGATGCACGTGCCCAGGCAGAGGCAGGGGGCCCGGTGGGAGCCCATCCAGCCAGGCCTGGGCGGTGACCTCTCCCTCCCACCCCCCAGCCACGACCAGCGCTTTTTCCTGAAGACCCAGCGGCGCCGGGAGGTGCGGACGCTGCTCGCCCACCTGCCCCGCTACGTGCAGCACCTGCAGCGGCACCCGCACTCGCTGCTCGCGCGGTTGCTGGGTACGGGGGCTGGGGGCTGGGTTCGGTGGGGGGGAGGCGGGTCCTAAATGTCAACGTACCGGGGAGG